ATTATATAATATATATTATATTACATTACATTACATTACATTATATTATATTATATTATATTATATTAATATATACATATACACACATACATGTCCTGTAAAACAGGTTTGCAATGAGTATGGAGCCCAAAACACACTGAAGAAAAAAAAGTACCGGCTGGGCGTCACGGCTCACCGTCCCAGCCACCACAGACGTACAGCTCCACATCTGCAGCCACCTAGGGGGTTCCATAGTCATGGGGGTACCCTCTGGTTATGTCAAAATAGCTATTGAAAATAGTTTTCCCATTAAAAATGGTGATTTTCTATAGTTATGTTAGTTTACCAGAGGGTATCCCAATAGCAGCTGGATGGTTGATGGAAAAGCCGATCAAAAATCCGACAACAGCTGGATGATTTAGGGGTACCCCCATGACCATGGAAATCTCCAGCCGGGAACCAGCTGCTCATGAAATGGCTGAAATGGCTAGTTCTATCCCCATTTTACATTGCGGGGGAAAACCCAATTTGTCCAGAAGTTAAACTCATCCATCTCAATATGATTGGAGCCTAGCTACGGCAATCTGTATCCATGGCTTGCTTGAAAATCCACCATTTAGTTCGATGATTGTCCTATTCAAATGTCCATTTAGATGATGATATCCCAGCTATAAACCTTCAGTCATAGATTGGTTTTCCCAGATTTTGGAAGGGAAATTCTGGAAAACCCGCCAGTTCGGCCAATGTTCACGATGAAACGCCGATCCCTAGGCATCTGGCCACTGCTCGTCGATCGGGCATCGGGGGAAGAGCTTCCCAGCGATCTCCATGAGGGGCCTCAGCTGGGACGTTCACCGGTCAACATGGCAACTTCGACGTCCGCTGTCCATTTCACCTTTGCGTGGCGCCATCCTGGCCATCTGCTAAGGGCTTCACTAATCTCTCAATGGACAGCAAACGGCGTTGACCATCCTGCCAAGAGGCTGAAAGGGCCATCTCTAAGCCATACCCGTCACCAAGGGATCCAAGGGCCAAGCGTAGCCCCCATGGACGTAGATGTGCCCGGGATACAGGCTTCGCAGAACTGGAATCCTGCCAAGCTCCGGATCTGTATTTTGCGATCCAAGATCATGACCAAACAAAAACAAAGAATACATAGAACATCTTAGAACTGCTTTTACAACGATGTTTCTACGGAAAAACTCCGGATCCTCAAATCGCCCAAGGTCGCCAAAGGTCCCTTGGCATCGATTCTGAGTGTCGTGCACTTCGCTCATGGGTCGACGCAGCGATTTGCTGCACGCCGACAACGCCAAGACCTGGTGATCAACTCTGGGGATGTCACTGGAGAAAATGGAGAATTCATGTGGAATTTATAGGGAATTCGTTTGAATCTGGGAATTCAGGGGGATTTAAAAGGGGTTCATTTGACAAATCTGACCTGTCAGTGGCAAAAATGCCTAGCTTTCAGAGGGAGTGTCTCAATGGAGGACTGGTCATTGCCATGATTGACTACCAAAGGGCAATCAACCGTGAATGACGAGATTCTCTGTCTGTTCAAACATGGGTATGCCGCTATGCCCCCAATCCCCTATGGTTTCCCTGTTCTTGAAATAGACTCACAGATTTGGTGGCTCCAATTTTGGGGGATACCCATGTTGGTGTTTGTTGAGTAACCAATTCTTTTCCTCATCCTCCAGCAGTTCATAAGTAAACTGAAATGCAAACAACCAGCAAAAAATCATCGACTCATTTCGGTGCTGCTGAATCAACATCATAAGCCCAAAACAGCTTGCATATCCGCATGCTTTCGAGAGGTCATCCAGAGCCTCGACCATTCCAGCATGGGTCCCAATGCCCAAGGCAAGTCCAGTGCTCACCATGACATCGGTCTTAGACGGTGGGATGCTGCCCTGGACTTGGGAGGTGGAGGTGTTGCCGTCTTCAGTCAGTTCAGTCAGTTCAGTCATCCAAATGCAAAGTCATAAACCCAGAAACACCCTGGTAACCTGAACCTGCTGGGTCCCTTCCAGGTTGGAGGATGGGATTCTTGTGGTGCTGGTGATCTGTTTTCGATGGCGAAAACGGGTGCCAGAAATTGGTTGCCAACAACATCTTGACCCATAATACCCATTTCTTCATACTTAAAACTCAAAATCGTCATATTCATCCCAATTTCTATGAGGTTTTGAACTTTAAACAGTTAGACACCCCAAACCCTCCAGTAAATTAAAGTATGTAGGTCATTCCCGAACGGGAACCACCTATGATTTTCCATATCGATTTCTTCATTTACCCCAGCCGGGTATCCCCTTGATCTGAAAAATCGGCCATCAACCAGCCGGGCCAGGCTCCCAAAATCCCCGGGGCCCCGCACCAAATGGGTCCGGTCTGTCCCAAGTGGATACGCCCTTTGGGCGCGCTCAAAGCGGCGGCGGTGCAACTTGGCGAGGAATCGGGCCTTGGGAATGGAGGAAAACGCAACAAACACATTGGGGGTTGGCCGTTAGCAAGTAAGGTTAATCATGGGATTTCACCAGCAACATGGATATTTCAACTTCACAAGAAGTACAGTAAATACAAGAGGATGTTGGGATTTTTATGCCATAGAAATGGAACAAAAATGGGACAAGTACCAGCTATGGCCACTGATTACAGGGTGAATTCACCCACCGCCGAGATTCTTCAACATGACTTCCTGCAGGAAGGTTTGGACTTCGAGAAACCCCTAAGTTTAAAGATTAGTTAATGAAACGTGATAAAAACAGCAATTCATTCGGAAATCTTGATTCCAGCTCAAAAAAAATGGCAGGTAGATTATATATGTTGATATTTTGGCGATCAGATTGTTTTTTGTGCCATAATAAATCCACCGGAAATGATCCTTTGAGAAATCCACACTTAGCAAGGCGCCAAGTAGCGCCGTTTGGCTCATGCAAATCGAAAAATGATTTGCTGTCTGCATCCCCTATGTTTACTATGTTTTGCTGATGAAATATAGATGATAGACTATAGATATAGATATATAGATGTAGATATAGATAAATATAGAGAGATATAGAGAGATAGACAGAGAGATAGATCCCCCATTGAATTCTTCTTGAAATCTCCGTGGTTCGATCATCGCAGCGCAGCTCCGCACTTTTTCCGTCGGCAGCCAGGCCTTCAGTTTTGGGCTGAATCCGGATGAAATCACCTTTGAAATAAAGTAAGGTGATCTATCCCCTAGCTGGTGATCATTCTTTCACAAACCTGCAATTTTGGGCAATTTTGGGATACGTAGCCCCAAAAAAAAAATCATTTGTGTATAGGATATAGTGAGGATACAATCAACAATAACTAGCAATATAATGGGATATATGATATGTATACTAAAATCCAAAAGATCAGATGGTTTCAATCTGATGAATCCTCCAAAAGACGGATGAAGTGGCTGTTGATATCTGATGGTCGGATGGATCTACAAGGAATTCAAGAAGAATGGATGCATTCATCTCAGAAATCCAAGGAAGAAAGGCTGGTTCAGTATCCAAAATCACCCAGAATTGGATATCCTAAAACACAATTGCGTTCTTGTTTTCCCAAAACACTGGTTGGGAATGGTTGGGAGAGTTTTTTCGTCAAAAAATGACTGGGAATATCATCAACCATAACTGTAGCAATGACTGGGATATATCATGGGACATATCACCGGACATTTCATGGGATATATCATGGGATATACCCTCTGGTTATGACTAACATAGCTATGGGAAATGGCCCATTAATAGATGATTTACCCATTTATTTATCTATAAAAATTGTGGTTTTCCAGTTCGCTGTGTCAAATAACCACAGGGCAACTGATATATTATATAACCACCAAATCAGAATGGGAAAATCGCCTCGATGGTCTTCATCACATCAGCTTCGAAACTTCCAGATGCCACCTGATTGGAGACGTCGGCGGGAGGTGATCTTGGAGAAATTCTGCTTCAAAAAATGCAGGCTTTATCAGCAAAAATGGATGTTTAGCCATCAAACATAATTGTTTCTACCTAAAATTCTCTGATTTTTGAGCTTGGAAGATGATTTTTTCCTAGTTTAAACATGTTTAGCATTTTCCTAGCCGAGATGGCCGCGATTTTGTGGGTTCCCACCTGACGCGCGGTCTCCAAGCACCAACGACTCATCTCACTATCATCGAGCTCCATGAACCAACCTCAGGGATGTTTTTTCGGGGATTCACCACACTATTTGAAGGTTGCAACAAGTCTTGACCAAAGTCCATACGCCACATGTGTTTTGAGTATACCATCAGACACCAAAGAAATGTGTACTCCAATGCTCTGCGAAATCCTGGCCCAAAAAAAAACAGCATCTTGGGATCCAACACATGCAGTACTTGGGCTTCATGGGTTTGATCAGCCCATCTTCCACCAACGACGCCGCATCACGGAGCTCCTACACCACAAAGCAGGATTCCGCAGGATGTGTTTTTTCAGAAAATTGGGATTCAAAATTGGGATGTTCAAGATTTCACGGGTCAAGATTTCGTGGGCTTAACCAGCAAGAATAACCGATGATTCTGGTTGACAAATCTGAAGGCTAAGCCCGGCTAAGTAAATTCCAAGGCCCAATGAACAAATCTATCAACGCAACTTGAGAGGTTGAGCACCAAACTGTAAATGGTTCATAGAGCTATCATCAAACCTTACCCTGCTCTTCTCACATCCCAATCATCCTCAAAGCCGGTCCAGAACAACCAGCATGAAATGTGTGGGTTGTGACTGCATTTCAATTCTATCAAGTGGCTTCATGGGTTCGTTCAATGTATGACCATTCCCCATTTTGAAAGAATTCCGATGTCTTGACCATTGTGCAATATCCACAAATACAATCAAATACAGGATCAACTTGTGGACTGGCTATCATCTTGCACCCACAAACCTCCTGCCATCCAGCCCAATTCGTCATGTTTGCAGGTGATTTTCACGCAGCTACCGCTGTCATTGACATTTTTGATGGAATCTCGGATCATCATCACTTTCCGCTTCTATTTCTTCACGTTTTGGACCTTGGTCGCATTTCCGGTGGCGTTGCTGGTGGCATTTCCGGTGGCGTTGCTGCTGGCGTTGCTGCTGGTGTTGACCTTGGCCACCGCGAGGAACTCCTTGAAGGTCTCATCTTGCTGTGCCAGGTTGGCTTCCGACAGCGCCTTCCCGAGCTGCCGGTGATTGTTGTGTCGTCTCCGGTGATGTTTTCAACATTTTTCAACAAACATGTGGGGATTAAAGCAACTCAAGTAACTGCTACTAGATCTACTAGTACATACCGAAGCCTCAAAAAAATGGGGATGGGCCGGGTGGGCTCAGAAAACCCCCAACAGCACTATCCGATAGATACACCAACAGCACAGCATCAAACATCTCCGGGCGGGCCTTGTTTAAGGTCAAGACGTCGGCCACCGAGACCCGGTCGTGCTCCAAGAGAGATGCGATGCTGGAAACATTGCAGGCCACCTGGACGCAGCCAAAAGACTCGGTGGGATGGGGAAAAACAACAATTTATAAGGTGCAAAAAATTGGATTTCATGGGAATTCTATGGGAATTTATGGTGGTTTTATTGGATTTGATGTGGATTTGATGGGATTTGAAGTTTGAAGTCTTAATGGGATCTCATGGGGATGTAATTGAATATATGGAAACAAGGCAACTGGTTGACTCGCCGCCATTGCAAGGGTGATAAATTTGAATTTGAGATGTTCGAGGCTAAGAGACAAAATGCTGGTATTTGTGGGACTTGTCAAAAAATGTTTGCAACACGGACATTCATTTCGATTGGCAGGCGTGTGACTCAAGCTCATAAATGTACATTTCGCCCGCGCGGTGAATCAATTTTGCTCTTCGAGTGCTGAAAAAACATGTTCGGAATTTATCATTTTCAAGTTGCCCATGCAAACATCCACCAGATTGTCCATCAATTTCCTTTCACCTCGCAGCATCAGTGCCAAAGTGCTTTCGGCAAAGCTGACCGCGACCAAATATGGTTCGCGCATGCAACCGCCGAGAGCGCGTCAGACACATGTCAACAACGGCAACAAGTTCCGTGGGCCCTGTGTTATACTCGTCAAGAACGTTATCACACCCCCTCCACCCCCCACTGTTGACCATAAGAGAGCATGTGCAACGTGTTAACTACGTAACGCATCTTGCAGGAAGCTTATGACATCCAACCCCTAAATTCAATTTTTGAAGCCTCATTTTCGCAAACTTCATCTTTCAAATGTGCCACCCTTCCAAGGGATCGTGAATGGCACATCTCAAAATACGCAACCCTTCCAAGGGTGGCGTATCAGCCGCATGCCTTAAAACCATTTAAAACCATCATCAATGCCATGAAGATGGTTAAGAATTAAGAAACTGGTTCTACTTCTTAATTACTATATAACATCCATGTCGAACCCATCTTGGAAACAGTTCTTAATTCTTAATCAGAATGGAAAATGGATGAGTTCGCAACATGGTTTGGAAACGATCTGAAATGCTTGGGTAGTGAGCAAATAGTCAATGGTACCGGGTTCTTCAAAAAAAACAGCCAACCAACTTGAAGTCTGGCGAGGAGAGTTAGACACCCCTTGACCCCAATTTCAATGTTGTGTGACAGCAGTGCTTCGCGGAGCCTTCAAAAAAAACAGCCATTCTTGCTCCGGCCATTGAGAAGCGATGGTTAGCAACATTGAGACAGGGGGTCCGGGGGCTTTCGGTGGATGTTGCAACTTTTGGTTGATGGCTGTTTTTTTTGAAGAACCCGGTATGATGGCCCCGAAACAGACATAGTGAAATTTTCGTAGGGTTGCATCCACACTTATGTACGTGCGTTCAGAAGAATAAAGAGTCCTTCTGCCGAACAGACCAATTGGCGTCATGACTGTGAGTGAATCTGGCGAGTTCTCAAGCCAGTCCAAGAGTTCTGTAGGTACCCTCTGGTAATTTAACATAGCTATTGAAAATGGCCATTTATAGTGGATTTACCCATTAAAAATTGTGATTTTCCATAGTTATGTTAGTTTACCAGAGGGTACCAACATGTTCCCTTTTTGATCAAGAACAAGTTGGGCAACTTTCACATCGCAGGGAAGATTGCTTCGTAATCAACAGCTTTTTCCATGTTTTGAAACAAAAACGGATATGGCTACCTTGGGGTTCCATGGTTGTTTTTACTTCATGGGTGAAAAATTCCCGAGTTCCGTGCCTGGATGCTGGCGTCCAACAAATAGCCATTGCTGGGGCATTCGTCCACCTGCTTGGAGATCTCGCCGGCGATGTCCACAGGACCCAGTTGAACCGCCTGATTTTTTTTAAAGTGATCCGGGGCGTCGGTGACCTAGAAATTCTTATGGGAAATGAGTTGAATGGGGAAATGACCGTGATTCTGTGGTGATTTTACTGATCTCGGGAGTCTAATTGTGGGGAAATGAGATGAATATGGATAGTGATTCTATGGGGATTTCATTGGGAATTATGGTGAATTGTGGGGGAAAATTATGGGGATACAACTATAACTGACAAGAATCAAACATGGCCAGCTGGTAAATCCCTGAACCAACTGAGCATTTCAACCGGAAAATCATCGAACTAAATCGGGGGTGCTCATTGCCAGGTTTGATTGCCAGAGGATACATTCAATGGTTCAAAACACCAGCCCAAAGGGAGACCATCAAACCCCTACCCATGAAATAGCAACGAATAATGGAGTGAAGCCGTGTCTAAACTTAGAGATATCCTAAAAAGACAGTTTGAGAGGGCAAAATGACCACCATGAGATTTTGAGTTCCAGATTCTAAGGGTCCAATTCACAACTCAAACCAACCATGGTCACCAGTTGGGTTTCCCGGGATGAGTTCATAGTTGATCTGTGACATGATTTTTGCACTTGGGGCAATGAAAATAGGCTCCCAATGAAACATGGATTCGATTGACATTTTCCCATATTTTCCCCATGAAACTGGTGACATTTTCCGGATCAAAGGACCTCGGTGATGTCGAAATCCTGAAGGGCGTGCATCTGAATCTCCTGCAACTGCGATCCCCCGGTCCCATGAAACATGGGATTATCCAGTGGGATTTCATGGATGACCGGAGTAGTTTTTCAAACTTTAAGGGGGAGTTCAACTGACAGAAATCGTTTGGAATTTTGCGGCAAAGTCAGATGTCGGCGATGTCGCTTTGGGATTGATTGAGCAACAATGAGAATTTGCAGAGCAAACCGCAGCGGGGAAATAGGGATGGTTTTGCAGGGATGATCTAGCTGAATCGGATGTCCACTCTGGGGATCTTAGCTGAAAGTCCGAAATCAACACAAACTTTTTCGGATGGTTTTCCAGATTCGAAACAAAAAAAACTGTCCGCTTCTACACCGATTTTCATGACTAGAAATTCTTTTTCAGCCCTCCTCCAAATTCAGCCGATGGCCATCATAGGCGCTGCGGCACGGGTTTTTGCCCGGTTTTGCCTTGTCCAGCACCTTACTAAGCCGACATGGAGACACAGAACTTCTCTGGTTTCACTCATCTTTGCCAAATTTCAATAAATTTCAACAGTCTACAAGAGTTCATCAAATAGCAGCTAAATAGCAAATTTGGCTATTTACCATTAGCTGTTATTCAGCTATTTAGTCTGTTTTGTTTTTTTTCCCGGTGAATCATCAACACGAAGTGAGCCAATAGATGGAGACATTCAAAGATAGCCCTTGCATTGCCGAGGCACCGCGTTCCCAGCGACCTTGATGGTCAGAAACTCCACGGCACCATCCTTGTTGTCAAAATCTGTTTGATTCACCCAGAGCTGCAAAGTGCACCTGACAAAATGGGAGAAGTGGTGGAAATCTGCAAAGATGCTGGTTTTGGACCCCAAAGATCCACAGATTTCAGTGAAAATTGATGAAAATTGCAATAAAGTTCAATTGCTTAGCTTAGCCCGGCACTTGTTGATAGACACCAAGGTTCGATTGAAGTCCAACAACATGTTGGTCTTGCAGCCCTTCTCAGCACATCGCAGGAATCCCGTGGTGCTGAGATTGAAACTGCCATCGCTTCCCTCCAACCGAAGTCCACCTCGTCCACCAGGTCCAGCTCCCAGGTTTTCCTCTCCGTAAGCGCCACCATAGCCGAGACCACCAGGACCATAGCTGTCATATGCCCCGTATGCCGAGAGGTTCCGCCTGAAGGGAAGAGCTCCAATGGCCACGGGATCCACAGGCATCACACGAGACATGTTGAGGATGGACTCATAGCCAGGCATGTCCGGAAGGGACATCCCGGGATGTTCCACCAACCATTTCCGCACAAACTCAGGGTACTTCTCAAAGTTTTCCGCGGTCACCCAGTGCGTGCTGGTGGTAGTGGTGGTTTCACCAATTGAAGTGGTGGTAAGATCAGATAAATTGCCCACATAGCAGGCAATGGTGGTTACACCGTGCAACAAGTTGCCGTTGAAGGGGCATTCATCAACGTTGTGGGCGATTTGGGCGCTCACCAGCATATTGCCCTCATCCGTCAAAATCGTGCTAACGGGACGATCCCGGATGCAAGAGAACAGCAGCTCACGGGACTGGTTGGAGACACATCCATTGACTTCTGGGTAGCAGTCATGACCTAAAGCACGGCTGTTCCCCATGAAGTTCATCACACGTTCGCCGTCAAAGTTGTCGTCGAAATCCGTGGCATGGACAGACAAGCTCAAGTTGCAGTCCCTAACATACTCCTTCGGCTGTGGACGACTTGGCTTCGTGTTCCCAAGATTGTCCCCTCCAATCTGACTATCTGACACACACCTATTAAAAAACACCAGAGTATGGGTCAAAATCTGAGGAACTGTTCTCCCCCAGCTGCCGTCCTTCTGTGGATCATACACCTGCAGCAGTACATCTGCCGCACATCCGGGCTGCGCACAGGTCAAGTTCCCCTTCACTTGTCGTAGCTCGAGCACCGGTGGAGGCACCGAGGCGTTGTCCGTGGCGTTGCCGGCGTTGCCGGCGTTCGTGGCGTTGGCCGCGCCGTCGCTGGAGTTCTGGAGGACCTTCAGCCCGGGACGCCCGGGACGGAGCGGATGCGAAGGAGGCTCCAACTTCACCTGGCGATGGGAACCTGGGAACCTGGGACCTCCGAGATCTTTAAAAAGTTCAACCAGTTGGATGCCAATTGGAACCAAACAACCAAATGCTGCGATGTTCTGAACAAAAAAGTGAAAGCCTCCTGGCAATTTTTTGTGCATTTGGGGAGAGGTCTCAACAGATGGCCAAAATATCATGGTGTGCGCAAAATGTGTCATCACCACTTGACGAAAAATGTGATGGTTGTACATCCCCATGCATCCAAAAACTTTTGCTGGCCTACGATCCTTGCTTCTGGTTATACAAACTCCTATCTGTTCGTAGGTCATGTAGCCATCAACTTAAATTGATGGCCAAATTTTGTGTTAAAACTAACTGGTTTCAATTTACATCCATTTTTTCAAAGACTACATGAATTGGTTTAAAGAAATATATGTCTGAATTCTAGATTTAAAGCCCGGAAAATGCCAAGTTTCATGGATGAAATCCTCGATTTCGTCATCCTCGGTGAAGTAACTTGGTTTAAGATCCTCCTTTTTCGTTGGTGTCATTTCTTGGTAGGTTTGATATCCAAATTCAATGCCTATCTCCCCGTTTTTTCGTGGCTCAAGTCCGCCTGCTTCAGCACGTTGCGTAGCGTCGGCTCCTCCTTGGCTGAACTCAGCGTTGTCAGCCGCAGCCGCGCTGGTTGAGGTGGAATCACTTCATCCACCTGCCAGAGGTCTCAGAAATTAAGGAGCTGTTGGGAAAACAGAAGGGGTTACTGCCGTTACCTATATAATCTTTATTCAGTCAGAAATCCTGTTGTTACACTCATGTGCACCTGTTCTTACCCTATTTTTCTTGCTATGGTTACTCTTGGTTTTTGCTCGTGGTGTTGCTTGCTTTTGGCAAAAGGAGAGTGTGAAGCTGAAACAAACTGATGGTTTAACAAACTAGCAATGGAGCTTGAAGCAATCAAAGTTTGATCATAACGTCTACAAATAACGTCTACAAGCGATGATGACCTGAAATGGAAAAAGTGGGCTTGGTCTGGTTTACCGTTCTGCCATCATATTGCCATCATGGCAACCAAGCTGTGAAGCAATGGAAAAACTTGGAAAAATTAGCGACTTCACCAACAAGACTTCGCAGAATGCGACTTGGGGAAGAGATCTATCTATCGAGTATTCCCAGCAACTTAGTAGGTTACTTGTACTCTAACCTACAGGCCAGGAATAGCTGAAAATCCCAAGGTTTTGGCAAGGCACCGCATCAGTACCGAGTGAGCGGAACCACTCTGCGCTGTGTGGAGTTTCTGACGTCAATTTCGTCCTACACAAAAAAAGGAGCCGAAAAAAAAGGGCAGGTTCGGCGATGAAACAAATCCAGAACTGCAGAGATCTGCAGAGTCTGGGTTTTGGAGATGTCTGATGGGTAGATTTCATTCGATTGGCACCCAAGCATTCAAGAATATTCAAGAATATTCAAGAATTAGAAGAATTAGAAGAATTAGAAGAATCCAAAAAGAGGTGTCTCATATTTCGACCTGTTTTCCACAACTGGTGAGCCCATGAATTTCATGGTTCTCCCTCCTGCGAAGTTGTACGGAGGCCGCAAGGAAGCAGGGGAGCTGCACAAGCAGCAACACCCAGGCCATGGGTTCTCACCTGTCATGATGGGGGCCAAGGGCGGGATTTTAGGAACAAAGTAGAAGTAGACCCACTAAGATCTGGTTTCTTTTGGATCAGCGAAAATATTGATTGTAAAAGAAAACTAAAAGGGAAGAAGCACTCTTGAGACTCAGTGAAATCTGCAATGCTCTTGGATTCAAAATGCATCGGCAAAGTCAACAGATTCAGCTTCGCACCCTTGGGCCCTTGGCCTGGGAAAAGGTTCAATACCAGGAACAAATGAAGGCATCTTGAGCCATAGAGCCGAAACCCTTTCGCGGCAGCAGTTTCAAGGCACTCGGCAAATGTGAGTCGATGTGAGTCGCTGACAGTACGGGATTCAACCCCCCAGGTGGCCACCGCAATAGTGCTTGGGTTAGCTGAGCCAAGGCGAATCTTAACCGAAATGGGAAAACTTTGGGATCTTCCCATCAACCACTGTCCTTCTCACCGGAGAGTTCGCATCTCAACTGTTCATAGTTTTCCCTGGCTTTCTCCGGATCTCTATGACCTGGATGCCGTGATGCGTCCATGGCGTCCATGATATAACCGGATTGTAACCCCTATGGTTATAACTAATATTAGAAGGAACCATAGGTGTAAATATGGCAACCCTTATTAACCTTCTATGTTGTTTATAAATGTATCAATTTTGCTTGGAAGTTGACCACTGTGCTTCACTGACCAATCCACCTGATGCGACTCTTGACCTCATTGCAATGTCCTGCACCTTCCCAACTTTGCTGGTTCATTGCTTCATCATCTTACACGTACAAATATGTTTAGCTACATGTAGACACCATCATCAAAATGATGATCGATCATTATTTTGATGGCCATTGAATCAGTAGAATATATATATATATATTATAGATAGATGGATAGATTGCATACGGTATAGAAGAATTTAATACAAAATTCCATGTAGGAATGAGAGTCGGATGCTTCGAATAGCCTAAGCTCCCAGGCCCCAAAGACGCTCCGCCAAGGGGGGATTGGCCAAAGCCCTGGCCAAACGGCAGAAATGGCAGAAATTCTTGTTGTAACCAGGGAAAGATGGAGAATCGAAGAACAACAACAGGAACATGGAAACAAAAAGCAGCAAATTATCCTAGCATTCTGGGGCATCTCGGGATACACACTCTTGAAAACCAAGACGCTGGTGGGAAAACAGAACGACGGCATAACAACCCCCAGCTCAACATCATGGACGTTGATGCATGTCTTGCGTACAGTTCTTCAGATGGTCTCCCCATTTCTGATTTTTGCATGCCGACATCAATGAGAGACGGGTCCCAAAATATCTTGGTTGTAGAAATCAAGATCATAACTATCATTGCCTGGGAATCTGTTGAATCACTGCAAAAAATTGCAGTCTACTCCTTACCCAGTTGGAGACGCAACAACTACCTTTCAAAACTGCTTGGCTCCAGGCCAAAATCAGAAATATTGATGGAAACTCAGAAAAAAACATCGTTCAAAACTGCTTGGCTCCAGGCCAAAATCAGAAATATTGAGGGAAACTCAGAAAAAAACATCGTTCAAAACTGCTTGGCTCCAGGCCAAAATCAGAAATATTGAGGGAAACTCAGAAAAAAACATCGTTCAAAACTGCTTGGCTCCAGGCCAAAATCAGAAATATTGAGGGAAACTCAGAAAAAAAACATCGTTCAAAACTGCTTGGCTCCAGGCCAAAATCAGAAATATTGAGGGAAACTCAGAAAAAAAATCGTTCAAAACTGCTCGGCTCCAGGCCAAAATTAGAAATATTGAGGGAAACTCAGAAAAAAACATCGTTCAAAACTGCTCGGCTCCAGGCCAAAATTAGAAATATTGAGGGAAACTCAGAAAAAAACATCGTTCAAAACTGCTTGGCTCCAGGCCAAAATCAGAAATATTGAGGGAAACTCAGAAAAAAACATCGTTCAAAACTGCTTCGCTCCAGGCCAAAATCAGAAATATTGAGGGAAACTCAGAAAAAAACATCGTTCAAAACTGCTTGGCTCCAGGCCAAAATCAGAAATATTGAGGGAAACTCAGAAGAAAAACATCGTTCAAAACTGCTTGGCTCCAGGCCCAAAATCAGAAATATTGAGGGAAACTCAGAAAAAATCGTTCAAACTGGCGCCAGGCCAAAATCAGAAATATTGAGGGAAACTCAGAAAAAAACATCGTTCAGAACTGCTTGGCTCCAGGCCAAATCAGAAATATTGAGGGAAACTCAGAAAAAAACATCGTTCAAAACTGCTTGGCTCCAGGCCAAAATCAGAAATATTGAGGGAAACTCAGAAAAAAACATCGTTCAAAACTGCTTGGCTCCAGGCCAAAATCAGAAATATTGAGGGAAACTCAGAAAAAAACATCGTTCAAAACTGCTTGGCTCCAGGCCAAAATCAGAAATAATTGAGGGAAACTCAGAAAAAAACATCGTTCAAAACTGCTTGGCTCCAGGCCAAAATCAGAAATATTTAGGGAAACTCAGAAAAAAACATCGTTCAAAACTGCTCGGCTCCAGGCCAAAATCAGAAATATTGAGGGAAACTCAGAAGAAAACATCGTTCAAAACTGCTTGGCTCCAGGCCAAAATCAGAAATATTGAGGGAAACTCAGAAAAAAACATCGTTCAAAACTGCTTGGCTCCAGGCCAAAATCAGAAATATTGAGGGAAACTCAGAAAAAAACATCGTTCAAAACTGCTTGGCTCCAGGCCAAAATCAGAAATATTGAGGGAAACTCAGAAAAAAAACATCGTTCAAAACTGCTTGGCTCCAGGCCAAAATCAGAAATATTGAGGGAAACTCAGAAAAAAAATCGTTCAAAACTGCTCGGCTCCAGGCCAAAATTAGAAATATTGAGGGAAACTCAGAAAAAAACATCGTTCAAAACTGCTCGGCTCCAGGCCAAAATTAGAAATATTGAGGGAAACTCAGAAAAAAACATCGTTCAAAACTGCTCGGCTCCAGGCCAAAATCAGAAATATTGAGGGAAACTCAGAAAAAAACATCGTCAAAACTGCTTGGCTCCAGGCCAAAATCAGAAATATTGAGGGAAACTCAGAAAAAAACATCGTTCAAAACTGCTCGGCTCCAGGCCAAAATCAGAAATATTGAGGGAAACTCAGAAAAAAACATCGTTCAAAACTGCTTGGCTCCAGGCCAAAATCAGAAATATTGAGGGAAACTCAGAAAAAAACATCGTTCAAAACTGCTTGGCTCCAGGCCAAAATCAGAAATATTGAGGGAAACTCAGAAAAAAAACATCGTTCAAAACTGCTTGGCTCCAGGCCAAAATCAGAAATATTGAGGGAAACTCAGGAAAAAAATCAAAGGTTCCCCACCGATCAGAAACTACGGAAAACGCATCGCTGATTGGCAACGCATTGGCTACAAAAATCCCCATCCATGGGAAATTCATCAACGGGATAAATGGGGAAATCCATCTATAACAGGAGGTTTCAATGTCAATCTATAACCTATAGATGGTGGATAACCTATAGATGGTGGATAACCTATGAATGTCCATGTTTAAATGTAATAACCTATAGATGGTGGATTTGTTTTCATCTTGATGAACTTCAGAGTCTCAGTATCTGGCCGTTCCACCATGGGAGTCCGTTCCAAGGTGAAAGCGCCTCAGCATGGCAACACCCGGAACCACCATCACCAACCATCCCGGTCGATGGAACCTCACATAGCGGAGGTATGTGTGTGTATATATATATATAGATAGATAGATAGATAGATAGATAGATAGATAGGATGGATAGATCGATAGATAGATAGATAGATAGGATGGATAGATCGATAGAGAGATAGATAGATAGATAGATAGATAGATAGATAGATAGATAGATAGATAGATAGGATGGATAGATCGATAGATAGATAGATAGGATGGATAGATCGATAGAGAGAGAGAGATAGATAGATAGATAGATAGAGAGATAGAGAGATAGAGAGATAGAGAGATAGAGAGATAGAGAGATAGAGAGATAGAGAGATAGAGAGATAGAGATATAGATATAGATATAGATAGATGATATACATCTATTAGGATAGGATAGGATGGGATGGGATGGGATAGGATAGGATAGATAGGATAGATAGATATTTATATAACTTTATCATGTATATGGAATTGTATTGAGCCAAGCCACGACGCAGCGCCTCTTCAGACATGCACCAAGCACTCTTCAGCGGCGAGGAGGGCAGGACGTAGAAATCCGAGAAGTCCATGAAATGCGTGCAGGGCGCATCCACCTGGAGATGGAAAACATGGAAAACACGACCCTTTTCTGGATTTCCAAGGGTAAAACATGGTAAAACCACATCACTCGCTGGGATTTATGGATGAAACTTTCCCTGAAACAATGGGATAGTAACCTAGTTGATAGTAGGATATAGTGTTTGATCCATCACCTGAGACAAAGCAAGGTGCCATGCCGGCGCCTGCAGGTTCCAAGTTCCGCTCTGATCCTCCAGCGCTTCCTCTGCGTCCGCATGGAACAATGCCCGCGGCTCAAATTCCGCCGAGATGCCCCAACCTCGGCGTCAAGTCTTTGAGTCGAAAAACTTGAATCGTTGAGGATATAAAATGGTTCTATGATGTTCTATGGTTCCATACATCCAATGTGGAATATTGTTTCTATATAAAATCCTTCTATACATCCAATGTATTCCAATGTGATCAATGTCGATTCCATTCTGCCGTGCCAAGGACAAGTTCGTCTGCCAGAGAACGATGCAGAACCTCCCGCAGCAACTTGCCAGGGCCTTCGGAATGAACTGCATCGGGGCAAACACCTCAGCACGCACCAACGACACCTGGGACTAAGGGGAAGCCCAATGTCATAAAGCTACCATGACTGGGGTAATACCACCTATTGAAATGGTGATGACTGGGGGATTGTTCATTTATTGGGTTTACCACATGATTTTGATATCTGAGATATCTGAGATATCTAAGTCTTATCATTATGCCCTGAAAAATGTTGACATTTTGAGGATGTCCAATGTAGATCAATGTAGGATATAACTGGGACGAAACTTTGCCATGGCCAACTCTCTCACCATGGCCATGGCACCCGAGAAGTTCATCCCGTCGTAGGCGTCGAAGAAACGCGACTGCCGTTGTCTCACCTGTCGGCGTCGTTTTTGAAAGACCTCCAAGGGGTGGGGAACAGAACGTGTCCATCATATTCACAGGAACAATAGAAAGTAGGAACAATAGAAAGTGTCCACTTGAAGGGATGGGGAATAGAAAGTCACAAGATAATAGCCAAAACCCACATGTGCGTTGAATGGCTTAAAGTCGGCATAAAGGCACAATCAGACACGGTTCTGCTAGAAATCCAAACAGTAGTCCTTTCCCCCTGTTCATACTAACACAACCCAGACTCACCATGGTGGATGTAAGGGATGAAATCACATTTTTGGGACCATTAGCCATGGAGGGTGTTTGAATTATCCGTGAATATCCATCATTATATATATATATATGATTATCATATATCAATATCCCACTATGGCTGATTATACTGTGGATGGAAGAAATCCTGCAACACCAAAAGGATGCTTAAAACCCTATAAATAATGGGATAAACCATCAACTGCTGCGGGATTTCGCTGGCCCATCCACAGCTCCATTGCAGTCCAGCTGCCAGCAGCACGCAGCGTTCCCCACTCCATCCCGTGGCCGGGTTCACCCCGCTGTAGGTCAACCCGCTGTCGACGATGGCGTAGTACGGTACCGTGCCCATCCCCTGCGGCGGCCATCAAGAATGGTCACAGAAGGATCAGGTCTGATGATAACAGTTTTAGAGTTACCCTCTGGTAAACATACAAAAAACTATGGAAAATCACCGTTTTTCATGGGAAGACGCACTGTTTCGACTGGGCCATTTTCAATAGCTATGTTAAATTACCAGAGGGTAAGAATGATCACAATAAAACAATTTTTGTGAAGAAAGCAGATGTCTCAGAACTGCTAAAAACGGATTAAGATACTTTGACATTACTTGTTCGCTTCCGCCACTGTTTCAAGAGTTTTACGGGACTCTTGAAACTGCTGCTTGCTTTCCAGAAGCTTCCAGCATCGCATGGCCCCAAGGGCTGAGTTTTAAGCGTTCACATATCACTGTGCACAGCTAGACCACCAGCCAATTATGACTTAGCTACCCTCTGGTTATGTAACATAGCCATGGTATAGATGGCCCATAGAAATAGATGGTTTACCTATTAATAGCATGGTGATTTTCCATGGCCTGGCTATGTTAAATAACCAGATGATAGCTAGATGTACTGCCAATATCTACCAATATCACATTCATATCACTGAATTTCCTGAATAATTACAAAGAAATGTGGCAATATCCCAATCGCCACATTGACGATCAAGTGTGCACTCCGAAGGAAACTAAGTTGGAATTCAAGGTTTCAGCCATGGACTTCGACAGTTGGGTTTGTAAAAATGAACTACAAACCCAAGTAAACACTTGATTAAAGCAATCAGAAAAGGATAGCTTTCCTGCATCCATGAAAATTAAGCTACAGTACATATCATACGGTATTATGGTATCATATCATATCCCCCACCAACAAAGCCTGAAATGGAAAAACCCGAAATTTTCGCCGCCTCTAAGCCTTCCAAGTCCAGTAGTCTTTGGATCAGGCGCTGGAAACACATCTCCCTGGCTTCGATCCCTTTGGGGTGCTGCCTTGGGGAAACACAACGAGATGATCCGATGATCTGTGATCGTCAAGGAATTTGCTGAACCGTTTTAATGAGCTTTCAACAAACAAAAGGGATATCTGACTCACCAGGCTGCAATCCACCAGCTTTGGATGACACCACCAGGGTTCAAACCCGGGGTCCAGCACTGGAGTTGAAACTTTGAGCGCAAACCAGATCTTGGAATTGTACATGACCCCTGACCCACCATTAGAACTTATAACTTATACAGTAACCAACTAAAGTTCCTACAAATCCATATATATATATGTATGTATATATATATATGTATGTATATATATATATATGTATGTATGTATGTATGTATGTATGTATGTATGTATGTATGTATGTATGTATGTATGTATGTATGTATGTATGTATGTATGTATGTATGTATGTATGTATGTATGTAATTTAATGTATGTATGTATGTATGTATGTATGTATGTATGTATGTATGTATGTATGTATGTATGTATGTATGTATGTATGTATGTATGTATGTATGTATGTATGTATGTATGTATGTATTATGTATGTATGTATGTATGTATGTATGTATGTATGTATGTATGTATGTATGTATGTATGTATGTATGTATGTATGTATGTATGTATGTATGTATGTATGTATATTATATATATATATACATATCATAACATCACCCCAAAATCCCATATTTTCCCTGAAACCGGTGACGGTAAGGCGCCTGAGCGCATCTGCAAGGCCCAAAAGACCTGTGACCTTCTCTGAAGTCGTGTCAGCTCGTTTGTGCGTCCCTCGGCACTGGTGAAGGCGACAACTGAAAGCTGCGGGAACTCGGAAACGCGGAAAATGTAAGAAAAAAAACGGAAAAAAAAGAAATGGTTATAGTATATATATATATATACATATAGATATAGAGATAGAGATAGAGATATAGATAGATGGATGGATAGATGGATGGATAGATAGATAGATAGACAGATAGATAGACAGATAGATAGATAATAGATATGTATATGATTGTATATGTATATATATATATATAGGTTGATTCAGAAATGGTCTCAAAATCTCTGAGTTTCCATTCAACTGGAAAATTCCTGAAAAAGGTTCCTCCATCTGCCTGAGTGCTTGGCCCAAACCCTTCACGTCCAGCATCGGCAAGACGGCCTTCTGTTGGAGCATTTTACAGGAGGCGTTATTGCCCCAAAATATTGGAGGTTCCTATAAATTGTCCCTTCAATCGATTCTGGGAATGGTTCATGTTAGGGCTGGCAAGTCTGGAAAGGTTCGACCCTATCGTCCTCCATCATTTTGCCATTTCTTCCAGGTCAAACCCCCACCAGATGGCCTGAAAGTTGCCAGTCGCATCAATGCCTTAACTTTTGGTGTGGGAGAAAATCAACGACCCAACCCTATCCCCAAGAAAAGGGTCAACTTTTACTCCCACCTTTAATCTAACAATGGGAAATTCATGGAAATTCACCCTCCTTTTATCAGAAAATCATCTGCAATCATCCGGCAAAATCATCTACTGACCAGGGATTTTCACTACTGCCAGGTCTGGGCAGATGCATCCAACTTGGGCCCTGCAACCGGACCGCAACCGGGTCGCTGTAGCGGTCGCTTCCCAGGAAGGTCGCCGCACGACCCCCGCTGCGCAGGCGCAGACCGGGGCGAGTCTGGTCGCCGATGCCGTCGACGCCTTGATTGGGGGCTGATCGATCCTATCATGACAAACAACAATAATAAACGAATAAGGTCAACCCTGGATTAATAAACCATGGTTTATTAATTAGGGGGGTATTCCTCCAATAGTCATAGTCTGATACTTAAATGGTACCCTCCCAATTAAACAGCCTAGGGGTTTATTAATCCAGGGTTGACATCAATAGTAATAACAATGATAATAGTAGTAGTAATATGTAGTAATAATGATAATAGTAGTGACAATCAGACAATTGAGCAGCCTCCAAAAGGTGTGATCAAATGCGTACGTCGCATGGGTTTGCTTACGCGCAGGCTTACGCGCGGACTTGAGCGCTACTTACGCGACCACAATTTGAACTTACGCGAGGGTTAGGGTGTGAGACAGTCTTACGCGACACTTACGCGACTTGAATTGCCCAAAATGTGGTTTCCCTGAAAGGAACTGCTTACGCGGGCGCTTAGGACATGTTGACAGGAATGCTTACGCATGGGCTTATGCCACGCATCTATCACCAAAATGCTTACGCCAGCTTAGGAAACCTAGGGTTTTGCTTACGCCAGACAGCCATGACACAACTCTTACTAACCAAATGAAGGGAGGTTTTGGACCCTTCTCAAGTAGTCGTAGTCGTGAAACAAATAACGTGATAAAAGCAATCAATTAAATTTTAATTATACCAGTAATAAGAATGAGAATACTAATCATATCAAATCATCATCAGCAACAGCAGCAGAATCATCATCGTCATCACCAAAATCACCATGGCTGTCTAAAAACCTGAGCCTGAGTCAAAGCATCTTTGGGTATGTTCAAAATTAGAGAACTGCACGGCGGGCCCTACAGAGCTTGATACATTTTTTGGTTCAAACCCATTACATCAGATTTTTTCCCAATGTTTTTTGTTGGTTTCACCCACTTTATCAAACGTACACTCTCGTAATTCTACATAGCTACGGAAAATTGTCTTTCGTTGATGGTTTGCCTCTTCAAGAATGGTGGTGTTCAATAGCAAAGTGCCAAATGACCAAGAGGGTGATCCCTACAAATGCCGCTTTTCATCACTATCAATAGATATTAACATACATTAACATCTATATTAACCACCATTTAACCACCATTTAACCACCATTTCATCACCCCGCCCTGCAGCTTAGCATCCCTCCAGCAACCGCCGATGGTCACCCGATCGGATGCGATGCACTTGACCTTCGGACAGCCAGGCCGTCTCCTCGCGGGGGTGACGACTGGGGGTAGCCCCAGGACTTTAGAAACCTCCAAAATCAATGGATCAGAACTGAAGGTACCCCCATGACTCAGGAAACCTCCAAATGATTGATGGTTGATTGGTTACAACTAATATATCTAATATCTACTATCTACTAATATCTACTAATATGGTATGGATATCATTCATTTCCGCGATTATATGGTAAGTTCGGATAGCTTGGTTGATAGGTTGATGTCAACCTACCGGGCTAAGATCATTGTGAACAATGGGGATATGATTGATATATGATTCTTATATGATGGTTGATTGGTTACTACAACTTGTAGATGAACAGGAGCCGATAACTGGTGATCCCTGGAATGCAGATCATCCAAGTGACTGACCAAGAAATTAGAAGATAGCTTGGTTTGTATCCAGTTAGTGGATTAGTCTCATAACTCCCAACTTAACCAATTATACTTGCATACATGTGTATATATACTATATACGTATGTATGTAATGTAATGTAATGTAATGTAATGTAATGTAATGTAATGTAATGTAATGTAATGTATGTACATATAATGTAGTATCATCCAACAAAAGACTATGAACCATCATGGGCCCCCTTTTTTTCCGCTCCTCGATGAGAAGCTTCTCGAGTTGGCCATCTGTTAGGCCTGCTGTGCGCTCAGATTCGATGGAAATTCGCAGTGGGATTGGTACCTGGGGAAAACCATTGGAATACCATTGGATAGTCAACATTTTCGCGATATTTTGGGGTATAACTGGTATAACATGCTAGAACTGTAGTTCCCTACTTCAGACACGCCCAATCAAAAAGATCCGGGGGTGCGAAAATGCAGGGTATCCCTGCCATGGATTGTCTGTAAGAGGTCCTATGGTCCTATGGATCAAACGATTATAAATGTACTCAAGAAAATCGAAAGGATTGAACCATGAAAGGCCAAACATCTATAGGTGGAAACTTCAAAGCCACCAGCTGCACCTGCACCAAAGTGTTTCCGCAGGAGGTCGTAATCCGCTGCAAGGACTTTGGCATTTCGCAAGCGATGAAAACCATCCTCCAAAATGTCAAAATCCTGCAGTGCCTCCGGCAGTCCATTTGCTCCAGTGTCAAAAGAGAACCCATGAGATGCAACAGAAATCGATACCGGTTTCGAAGAACTGTTTAATAAAAGGACGTTTAGGTTCTTTAAAAGTGTTTTTAGCAAACAAAAGAAAATGCCACGATCAAAACATGGGGGAATCCTTTGTCTCTTTGGGACCTCTATTTCTCGACAGGATTTCAACAACCTGAGTGAGTCGAGGCTCTTCAACATCAATGGAGGGTATGGATGGTGGCAGCGGATCCAACGATGAGTGTAATGGTTGGACCCCATGGGGAAGCCTCGTTGCAGAAAAATCCCCAAAAATGCTTCTTTAACTCCAACTTCTTTCTGGTTAAATATGCATTGAAGCAATTTAATACACCTTAAACATCTTTGAACCATCATTTCAATCATTTCTGCCTGGTTTCCCATTTTTTGCCATGAAATACTCCCGCCATGCGACGTTTCCCGCTGCATTCTCCATCTTCCAGTCAGCATCGGCCCATAGCTCCGCCGGAACGGGGCGCCAAAAGTAGCCATGGCCCAACCAGTCCTGAGCAGAGCGGCTTTCGGCAGGGAATGGGATGACTCTATGGGGGAAACGACCAACCAAATATGGAATTCAAGGGAAAAACATATGGGGAGGTTCATGAACAGAAAA